TGAGAGACTGCTGAATTGGAATTAATTTGCAAACTGGATACAAATAACTTAGGTTTGAATAGAGACTGGGAGCGGATGGGTCATTTCACAAAGTAAAACTTTTTCCCCATGTTTATCCCCACCCCCACCCCCCACTGTTCCTCAGACGTTCTTGTCAACTGCTGGAAATGGCCCACCTTATTATCGCTACAAAAGGTTCCCCCCCGTCCTCCCCTGCACCCGGCTCTCCTGCTGGTAATAGCTCACCTTAAGGGATCACTCTGGTTACAGTGTGTATGGTAACACCCATTGTTTCATGTTCTCTATGTATATAAATCTCACCACTGTATTTTCCACTGAATGCATCCGATGAAGTGAGCTGTAGCTCACGAAAGCTTATGCTCAAATAAATTTGTTAGTCTCTAAGGTGCACAAGTACTCCTTTTCTTTTTGTGAATACAGACTAACATGGCTGCTACTCTGAAAACTTTAAAAGGTGTGTGGACCAGCTCTCTGGTCTACTTCTCTGGTGGTGTGAAGCTCGTAATAGATTCCCCAAGGTAAAGAGGATGTTGTCTGGTGATCCCTAGCTGCTATATTTATTAGAGGGTGGATCTTAAATTCATCGCGACCTCCAGATTCCTGCTGCTGGTTTGTTTTGGGCCTTGCAATTAGTTTGCATTTGTTTAGACCATTTTATGTAACGCTAACTTCACAAAGAAATGGGCTAAAAATATTTTTTTACATGAAAGCTGAGAGTCTTCATGGGAACAAAGGGCTGCCCTGTTAACAAGGGTCCCATGTGAGTCCCTTCCAGTGTCTCAGTGACATGGAATCCTATGTAAATTGGCCAGGCCTGGGTGCAGATTAAAACTACAGAATCTAAGTGCCAATCAATGGATCTTGGAGTCACCGGATTCGATGCACCATTGATGCCAGTCTTATGCCAGTCAATTGAAGAGCAGCTCCTCTACTTCAAAGCATATATGTGTGTGGGTACCAGTGATTGGTTTGGTTTATATTTTTTATAAACAAAGTTGTACCCTTTCAGCAATGTTTGTATTAAATTTGTGTGGCATGCATCTGCCTTATGCTGTGCTCATCAAAATAGATTTTTATGCATTGTCCTTTTTAACCTCTCAGCTCACTAAGTTGCTTGATCTGTTTTGGAGTCAGAAAATGTTCAGGTAGGGGAAAATTTCAAGCAAATTAACCTTCCATGGAAAAATAACTGCCTATATGTCATCTGCAGTAGGCATTGATCCCTAACTTGTTTATGCCTTGCATTTGTTATGCATGTGTAAGCACATTAGCCTTTTCATTTCATTCATTAGACAGTTAGTCCTTGATTAGTGTTTTCTAGTTTCTGTCAAAGACAGTACTACTTCTTTATTCATTTTGTTTTAGGTCTTTCTTTTACTTTTGCCTTAATATAGAGGAAAGTTAACAATTTAAGTACAACGGTGGTCCTTTCTGTTTATTTTTTTCTAGTAAATATACTTTCACTAATTGGTGTGTCTAACATGTGGATAAAGTACCTAAAACAGTGCTTTCTAGATAGCAGAGTTGATTCTGATCTACTGGCTGTCTTTACATGGAAGATTGGCAGCTCAAGTTTTACTACCAGCATCACTTTGAGGATAAAGTATTTGTAACTGCGGGATTACCTATAATAGTGAATATTTGCCTTGTAAAATTACTTTTCAACTTTCTTATAAATACGATAATACGTGAATGATAAGCAGATGAGACTGACAGGACAATGAGTTTGGGAATACTCCATTGAGACAAGGAAGTTCCACGTGGGAGTTACAAGTGAGGTGAAGCAGATAAGGATGTGTTTAAGGTTAGCACAGTTTCTCTCTCTCTCTCTCTCTCTCTCTCTGTATTTTTTATCTTGCTTGTAGGCCACTACAGCTGAACTTAAATGGTACTGATTTTACAGATAGATGAATATGAAAAATAGCATCAATAATTTTCTATTTTTCTATTAAATACATGGCACTTAAATACATGATGTGAATGTGGCATGGTCTGAAGGTTTTACTGACACACATCGGGGATGATATATGTAACTTGTAAGTATTGAAGCTACTTGGGAGTAATTTGGTCACAAACTCATACTGCTTAAAATCTTTATTCCATACCACATCATCATATGTGATGGTTGTGTGTGAGTGCACACGTGCGTGTGCACCAGGCAAACTGTGACTTAGACCCCTATTAGTGCTTCTTGAGTGTACCCCATCGGGGACATGCCTGGCTTCCTGTGCCTCACTCTGGGTGGAACCACATAGCCCAACCACTCTTAGATTGGACTCTGGGCTGCACCTTTCTGTTTCCAACCATGTTAACAACACAGGTCCAACTTGGTTTTGACACCTGTAATAGTTTCCCTTTGAGAGTCCGTGATAGCATATGTTTTCAACGACAAAGAAACAGTATCTTCAAAACAAAGCACTATTAATTCATTCCTCAAAGGTACAAACCACTTAGAGCAAAAGGGGAAAAAATACAATAAAAAGCCTAGACACTTTTTTACTTACACCTTTGTATGTTCCCCTAAAGTTTAAACCAAGCCAATTCCAGCTCTGGCAGGGAAAAAACAGATTGCCCCCTCTATAGTTTCTACCTCTGTCTCTGTCAATCGGGTGTCAGCTTTTCTGTACGCAGCCTCTTCAAGCTCACCCAACCCCGCCTCCCTTTTCTAGGATCTTTGGGGATTAGATGTTCTTTGATCCAGGCTTAGCTTTGGAAAGAGTAAATCATTCTAAGCTGGATGGAGCCAGACAGGTAGTTTATTCCCCAGTGATAGCTCAGCCATTGTTTTCTCGTGGATTCTTACACGTGTTATTGTTTTACCTTTCCTGCTTGGTTCCTTAAACAACCCCTTTTGATGTGCCTCCATAGCAAATAACCCATCATAGCCAAACACAGAGAGGCCTTGTGTGATACTCCCTGGGGGTACTCAGGATTGTGAGCCATAGTCACTACTACATACCCTTAGCATCAGTGAGCATTGTCTGTGCCTGCCTGGGTTCAGCTCCCAGACTCCACCAGCTACTGGCAACACAAGCACCTCTCCTCCAGGCCCTGCTCTCTCTTTACACGTTAGTGTTGGGCACACTTCACCCCACGAGTCGTCCTAGCATCCCCAGTGTCCAGCCCCTGCTCCAGTGGACGCTTACAGAATTACCAGGTTTGATGTTCCCAAAGGAACAGTGCACCACAGCTTACTAGTTCATAGATTCATAGATTTCAAGGCCAGAAAGGGTCACGGTGATCATCTATTCTGCCCAACACAGGTCATAGAACTATAATTCCTAGTGTTCACATTAGAGCACAGCTTTGCTTAAGACATAACACTTAAATGTCTGTGTAGAGAAGGCAAGTATAAGTTTTTTTTAACAAAGAACAGAGATTCATCTGATAGCAAACAGAAATATTGAAATGGAATTGAAATATTGAAATATTTATATGTTTTACATATAAAACAGTCGTAACATGCTTTCTATGGCATCAACTTAATTGACAATTATACTCCTGTTTAAAGAAGTTTATCTCACCCAAAGTTCTTCCCAACATTTTCAACCAAGCCTGGTTAAGATCCCTTTTTCATGAAGCAAACACACTGGCAATTTACTTCTTCAGTGAAGGATGCCAGGGCTTCTTTCACTCCCAGATATACCAGAACAGACCTTTAATCTTTACCTGAGAACTCCCCCTCTCCCTCTGTTTACCTCGTCCTGTTCATTTTCTTTTAAAGTGCCCCCAAGCTCTTCATTACTATTTAACTTGATATGCTAATAGACTTCTGTTGTAAGACACATAACCGTTAGCTAGGGAGATAAGTGTTTCTCACCTCCTCTCTGGAGAAGTTTTTCTCGAGGAACGAGGAAAGCTAGCTTTGAGTGACTTGCCTTTAACTACAAGACCTTAAGAACATAATTTCCAATATACCTGCCTATCTTCTTACATGTTATCCACACGTGCAACTCGCAATGATTCTGATGACCAGGATGACACAGGCTTCCATTACAGACTTTACATGACGTTCTTTGGTGGACTAGTAGGTAAACACCAGAAACTGGGGATCTCTGTAACCCTTTTATACTCCTGTCCCTCTTGGCACAGAGAGGTTCCTGCGTCACACCTGCACCATATAAAGAATCAGTAGAGATATTTCCAGTCCATCACATTGTGTATAAAAGCTTACCTCTTATTTGTTATTTTTAATCCATGATTTTAAAGTGCTTTATATCCTCTTTGTAATATATATATATATATATATATATATATATATATATATTATATAAAAAATATACCCCCCCTACACATTTCTTCCAAGGTGTCTATGAGGTAATAGGACGTGTATCTAAAGGCTGGGAATGGCTGTGCTCTGGAGATGCCTTATGTAGGGATCTGATTTAGAGATTTAGCATGCAGTCATTTTGTAATGGCAGTGATGGTGGTTCTCCTATATAATGAATCCACTTATTTTTTTTAAATGTGTATATAATATTGGGTAGCCAGATCGTGACCTAGACCACACAGAACTCTATATACAAGACTGTTGAATGGTCCTATACAAATGCTCAGGCTGTATACAGGTGAGGTTACCTGACTGGGTCTTCCATCCTACTTTACCAAATAAAGAGATTTCATAGATGTATTCTGTAGTCCAGCAAAAATAATGATGTGGATAGTAAACCTTCACTGAAAACAAATGCTTGTATGTTGCACAACAGTTAGAGATACTTTCAGCAAAAATAACTCTCTCATTCCATTCATATAAAAAGATGTAACAGACTGTAAAATGTGTAGTAGGTGAATGATTTGGAGCTATATCTGCTTGTTGGAATATTGTATATCTGAGATTTCAAAATTATCAGGGTACTGCTCTGGTATAATGATAGTGCACAAAACATCTTGTGGTTTATGTGCCTCGGTTAGAATTTCGATTTTATATTTTGCAGTTTTACCCATGATGATAGATTTACACATTTCTTTTTTCCTGTTAGGATGCTTCAATTGCCCACAGATTCCACATCATGCGAGAAAAACATCCAGAGAAGTTCAACAGTAGGTAAGAACATAAACAATATTTGCATGTGAATAGGTTGTTTTCAAATGGGTAAGATGTATGTTCCATGAGGAGATAAATTCTGCATTTTCCTTCAATATATTGATTATTATTACAAGACAGAATGTCACTGCATCTTACTTTAAATATCTGGTTCCAGATTATTCCGATTAAAATCAGCGATATCTGGTATCTCAGTTGAAGTGAGCAGCATTATAAATAAAGTGTTCTCACATCCAAAATGATTGACTCTTAAGATTAGCATGATAGAGATGATGCACTGTGGTATCTGAGGATCCCTGAGTTGACACTTTGCCATTAGGAACTGCAGAGCACTTATTAGACAGCTGCAGCTGGGGGTCCTTATCTTTCGTTCCTACATACACACTGGTATGTTGACAGGGGACTCTTCCATATATACTCTTTGTGAGGAAGGGCAACTGAATGCTGTTTTATAAATATATACTTCTTATCATTAAGAAGCTTGGGAAATGTCTAAAATGTGCGAACTGAAACTTTGCGTATATCCATGTGTTCCTTTTTGAGTTTGATATGGACTGTTGTTCCAAAGTTTTTTTGGAAATGTAAAATGTGTTAACATGTACTCTAAATACATCTTTCCTCAATAGACTGCTTACTGAGTAGATAAAATCCATAATTCAATGCTTGTTTGTCTCTCATATTAGGGTAATTTAACAGATCAACAATGATGGGGAATGGCAACATTTCAGAAGTCTTAAGTAACATTTAAAGGCACAAGAGAGGAAAATAAATCAATACAATATATAGGAATATATACTGCACATATTTATTTATATACTTATGAATATATTCTCTCTCTGGGCCAAATTGTGGCATTTACCCACTGACCGGAATTGGGGCCTATGTGGAGCTGCTATGCTCCATAGGGAGATCTTGGAGCAATTGTGCCTCAGGTAAGCAAGCTGCCCTAATGGATGAGAGTTACACAGGCTGCCATTTCTATGGGATAGTGGATATGCTCTCCCTAGTATGGCTGTCCTGCTTTGTGGACCAATACAGAGTGATGTGAGTGGGGCCATTAACCACTGCAGTGTGGCCGAAAACACTGTGCTCACCCAACCACAGGGACTGAGGTTGTCACAAGCCATACACCAGGAGGCTTCTTACACATTCAGTACCCCTCTGCATCTGTGAGGATCTATCATGATCCAGGGTTAGATATATTACAATAAATTCTGCAATAAGCGCCCATGTTATAATACAGTGGTGGGCAAGATGCAGTGCCCATCAGGGTAATCTGGTTGCGGGCCACGAGACATTTTGCTAACAATTGACCATCCACAGGCATGCCGCCCCCCTCTGCGCAGCTCCCAGTGGCCACGGTTCGCCGTTCCCGGCCAATGGGAGCTGTGGGAAGCGGCAGGCCGCAGGGATGTGCTGGCCACCACTTCCCGCAGCTCCCATTGGCTGGGAACAGTGAACCGTAGCCACTGGGAGCTGCGGGGGGCATGCCTGTGGACGATCAATGTCAGCAAAATGTCTCGCAGCCTGCAATCAGATTACCCTGATCGGCCATAGGTTGCCCACCACTGTTATAATCGCTCCTCTTCATAAAGCTCATATATTTTTCACTCCCAAGAAATATATAATGAAGAGAATACAGTGGTTCATAAAGACATATTGCTGGAGCTATCAGACACTTATCAATGCAGGTTTTCTAGACTCTGAAGGTGAAGCTGGTTTATCCGTGGCCCTTCTGCGTATTTTCAGCAATTGGAAATTTTAATTTATAAAAAGCTCAGCTAATAATATGAGTTTCAGATCAGATTTCATGTCACAATAAATCATATGCCATTAATAACATCTGCTGCAGGCTCACCTTGAAATTCATCTATATTTTAAAGATTCTGATGTTTCTAACATTATCTTAAGGAAATTAATTACAAAAATATATAGTTCCAATCTTTACACCTCTTGTTACTGAGATACTGAAAGAACTTGAAAAGGTAATGATATTTCCAGGGGTTAGAAGAGCTCTCATTCAGATGATATAATATTTATCAAAAATAAATCTAAGTATTAACTGTTAAAAGTTATAATTTGCTAGCATGTTTATAATAGAGAAGTTCTAATGTCAACCCAGTCATTTGTAGATAGCCAGAGTGCTACCTTTAAGTATGATATTTTACACAAAGACAGTACATATCTTTATTCAGATAGTTTCCTGAAGCATTTTGCTACAGGCTTATCATTTTAAAAATATTTGTTTTATTTTGCATACAGGGGGAAAATGACAAACCCTGCTAATGTAATTTTACATACAATTATCTCAGATGTAGTTTGTTCTGTTAACAGCAGTTTGCATATGGTGACATTCCATAATGATGCTGTAAGGTATTATGTGAAAATAAATCCCATTTTAGAACTCCACTGAGCCAGTGGCTATAAACTTTGTAATTTACTAGAAGGTGGCATTTTCAAAAGCATCTCGGTGACTTGGGAGCACAAATCCCAATAAGGTCAAAGGGACTTGTACTCCTAAGCCATTTAGCTTCTTGAAAAAATCTCACCCTGAATTCCTAAATTCTTATCCTGTCTCTGAAAAAAGAATCAAGAATCTCAGGCTTGGAGTTCGCTTAGTAAGTTCTGATGTCTCAGAGACGATGAGCACCAAGAACTCCTGTTAAACTAAGTGAGAGATTAAACATTTCTGTAAGTCAGACCATTGCACGGCAGTTCTACTTTCAGAAATGCCTATGTAACAATCTGTTACACAACTAAGATGGAATTCCTTGCTAAACAGAATCTGATTTTTTGTGTTATACAGAATAGATATAGAATCATAGAAGTGTAGGGCTGGAAGGAACCTCAAGAGGTCATCAAATCCAGCTCCCCTGCACTGAAGCAGGACCAAGTAAATCTAGTCCATATCTGACAGGTGTTTGTGCAACCTGTTCTTAAAAACCTCCAATGATGGGGATTCCACAACCTCTCTTTGAAACCTCTTCTAGAATAGCTGGAATAAGCTCTGAATATCACTTTAGTGACAAAAATAAGTTTTTGTTACTTTAAACAGACAGTACAGGTTGGGGAGTGTGAGCTGGATTCCATCCTCGCTCATGCACCTCAATAAAATTGATAACTAAGATCCACATTGAAGGATAATTCTTCCCTCATTTAATACACCTGTTCAATTCCATTGAAACTAAAACAGGTTGTAGCTGCAACAGTGTAAATTAGGGCAGATTTTGACCTGATTTTTTTTTTTTTAAATGAACTACTGATGACTCATAAGCTGGAAAGAATCCAACTCGACAGTCTGAACCTAGGTTATATTGGTAGGGCTGGCCATTTTTACTTGTAAACTGAGCAGATGTGATAGGAAAATGAAATCACTGAGATGCAACCACTATGGGACTGCCCCTCCCATGCCAGTTTTATTGTCACTTCTCAGAGGACAACTTTGCTGCCTCAGTTTCACCGTGTATAAAATAGAAATAAAAAATGTTTCTATTTCACTGGATTTGGAGGGATTGTTTAGTGAGTGTTCATAAAATGCTTTCAAAGTAATAGAATGAAGTATTAGGAACTCCTTCCTCTATTCAACATGTGACAGGAGTAGTGATTTTCTTTTTCATACAAAGCTTTAACATTGCTAATTTCTCAAAAGTACAAAAAATAAAGTAGGACTGAGATTTTCAAAGTCACCCAAGGGATTTGGACACCCAATTCCCCCCAAAACCTCAACTTAAATACATAGCAAATAAAGAAATGCACATAACTAAAGAATGTATGCAATAGATATACAGTAATCTTTAAAGTTACTCTTCCGAAAACCTAGAGTTGCGTCCTTTAGTGTGATATTTTTCTTTTCAATGATCAAGTGTGTCCCATGGTCTTACTGATAAGATACATACTGTTACCATTCCACAGACACTTAAGGAGGTAAGTGTTTAAATGCATTCATAACTACTAGAATCTGAGTTGTCATAGTAGCCAAACACCAGTGGATTGAAGTGCTGAGATTACTGCACTTGAGAAAGCATGGTTCAATTCCTAGTGCCTCCTGTTCAGAGCAGGATCAAATTTCTTGATTTCAGTGAGCAAGTGGCTAGTAGTTAACCCTTGCAAACTTGCAGAGGACAGCATTTGAAGTAACACAGTATCACTAAACTGGGATGCTGTTAAAGTAATCTAGTTTGGTCAGAATGCCCCTGCAGGGAGATCTGTGTATACATCATAGACTGGTGCTGAGAAAAATAGATATATGGTTTATGTGAATTGAACCTGCATATGGAGACAAACTAAACGTTTTACTAAAATCATTCAAGTCCATATTAAATAGTCTAAAATAGTATTTGATTAAATTAAGTTTGCTAACATGACTCTTTAGGTGTGTCTACACTGCAAAGGAAAAACCCGCAGCACTGAATCTCAGAATCTGGATCAATTGACTTGGATTTGGGCTGCAGTGCTAAAAATACCAGTGTAGATGTTCCTGCTTGGACTGGAGACTGGACTGTGAAACCCAGTGTAGGGGGAGGCTGGCAGAACCCAAGCTCCAGTGTGAATGGTCACACTGCTATTTTTAGCCCCACAGCCCGAGCCCTGCAAGCCCAAGTCAATTGACCTGAGCCGCTTAGACTTTCTTTGTAGTGTGGACATACCATCTGGCACCAAATAGCGCACAAGATATTTTTGAGGTTCAGCAAACTAAAGTAGAATTTATAGCTTGCATTTACAGTTCTAAGTACATCATTTTAGAGATTTTCAAACACGAGTTTCTCTTCTTGATGTATAGCTGTTTTATGATGAAGAAATCCTAAAACAAAAACAATCTCCTATTCCTAATAACTTGATTAGTGTAGAATACTTGACCTTATATTTTACAAATTTACTTTTATCGTGTTGAATTATGCTTCTATTTTGTGCCAGTATCTATGCACTTAACCTCTAAAGACACTGGTATTAAAAAAAAAACCATTAAATACAAATTTACTTTGTGCAAGTGACCTCCAAGA